AAAAAAAAAAAAAAAAAAAAAAACTCATCAAACTTCTCAAAGTAACCACTATTTTAAATGTTTATCTTGGGACCAGCAGTTAGCGTAATGGCTATGTTGCTGGACTCCCACATAGTCGACTGCGGTTCTAGTCCCGGACCCGGTGGCTTAAAACTCACTCCAGGTGTGAATGCGTGTATGCCCAAGATCCTGAGAGGAGAATGGAGGAGAAGGGATTGCGGTGTGACCATCCCCCCTGGGGGGTGATTTCTCGCTTTCTGTCTCTCTGTTTCTCTGTCTGGCAAGTGTACACGCCCTATAGCAAAAACCTCTCAAAAAAAAAAAGTTTATGTTCACAGCCTTTTTAGACAAAATGAGATAATACTGTGCCCATTGTTTTGTAACCTGCTTTTCACTTAACATATCATGAGCATTTCCCCTATCATCAAGTGCTACCTTAGAACATACTTTGTAATGACTATATAGATAGTATTCCATCCTTTCAGGAACAACCACTAATTTTTTTAAAAGTAAAATTCAGTCCATCTCTACTTTTTTTTTTTTTAATAATTCTTTTAGTTGACTTTATTTATTTAAATTTGACCAGCGAGGGAGGAGAGGAGAAAGCAAGCTGCCAGGTTCAGAATTTGAACCATAGTTGGCAGTGTGGGAATCCAGCACCCTTAACCACCATGCCACCTGCTGACCCCCTCCATCTCTTTTAATATCTGAATTAGCTATAAAAAGAAAGAGGCTAAATTAATTTAAAACAAACAAACAAAAAAAAACAGAACAAGTTACTTGTGAGCCATTACTTATGCTTAGATTTTTAAAAATTTTTTTGAATTCAGTTGTTTCTTTTCATGAGAAGGACAGAGAGATAGAAAGATAAGAACCCTCAAAAAAAAAAAAGAAAAAGAAAAAAAAGAAAGAAAGAAAAATAAGCATCCTCATCAGGGTCTCACACCATGATCCCCTACCAGCTTTCTCAGCCAACCAGGATCATGGGCATTTGTGCCTAGCATTCATTCATTCACTCATTCATTTATTTCTTAAAAGAATTATTTATTTAATTTTATTTATGCATTTACTTATTTTTAAATTTGACCAGAGAGAGACATGGGAGCGGGGGGAGAGTGAGAAAGCAAGCCATCAGGTCCGGGACTCGAACTGTGGTTGGCCATATGGGAGTGTCCAGCACCTTAACCACCATGCCAGCTGCTGGTCCCTGTGCCCAGCATTCAAAGGTCAACTGAGAACCAAACCTATAATCTTCCACATGGATCCAGCATTGCTTGGGTCAGAGTGTTACTGCTCTGTTGCCAAGCCAGCCCCTAGATTTTAAAAATAGTGAGTTGGGGCTAGCAGGTAGTGTGGTGGCTAAGGTGCTAGACTCCCACATGGCCAATCACAGTTCAAGTCCTTGACCTGGTAACTTGCTTTCTCTCTTTCTCTCTCTGGTCAAATTAAAAAATAATAATAATAGTAAGTAAAATTAAGTACTTCTTTTTAAAATAGTAATTTTTGCTTTCTTTCTTTTCATTTTTTTTAAAATTCGCAACTGGCATGTCTGTTTACCTGAGAGAAAAAGGCACCCCCTCGAGGGGGGTTTGCCATTCCACAGTCTCTTCTCCATTCTCCTCTCAGGATGTATACATGTCCAGCCAAGCTGCCAGTCCAGGGCTCAAATCACACAGATGATCATGTGGAATCCAGCCCTCCTAACCACCATGCCACCAGCTGGTCCTTACTTCTTTATTATTTCTTTCACTGATATTATAAATGAAAAGTAGACAAGATTAGGAACTATAAATGTTTAGAATTTACCCTTCTATATTTTTAAAATTCAGAACATAATGACTATATTGCATTTTCTAAGAATTAATGGATAATAAGCATTTTTAAAAAACTTGTTTGATTAAGAACATTGTGTTATTTCAAACAAAAGTTTGTTTTAATGTATTTTTTTTTTTCTTTGTTAGTGTTGACTGTGTAGGGATATTGAAATTGAGGAATGCTGATGTTGAAGCCAGAATAGGAATCGCTGGTTCCAAGAAAAAAAGTACTCGTGCCAGACTGGTTTTTCGAGTTAATATTACAAGAAAAGATGGCTCCACTTTGACACTGCAAACACCTTCTTCTCCGATTTTGTGTAGTAAGTAAGAAAATATGAAGATTTTAAATATATGGAGATTTTCAGATTTTCTGTTAATCTTTCACACATCTGTAAATTTTAAATGTTTCACATACTCTAGCTTGTTACGCAGAAATTGAAATATTTTAAAATCTGATCATTAGCGTTTCTAGACTGAACTACATCTAATAGGAATGAGATTTAAAAGATGCATAGCAGTTGTAATATTTATAGTATTATCGTTATTATATCATGATTTGAAAAGAAATTTCAGGGGACCAACAGGCGGTGTAGTGATTAAGGCACTGGACTACCACATGGCCAACAGCTGTTTGAGTCTTAGACCTGTTGGCTTAGAAAATCACATCAGGCAGTGTTCATACATGCCAAAAATCCCAGGAGGAGAATGGCGAAGGAATTGCAATGTGGCTATACCCCTTGGGGTGGTGATTTCTCACTGTCTTTTTCTGTCTCTCTCTCTGAGAGCATGAGCTTACGACAAAAACCTTAAAAAATTTAAAAAAAAAAAGAAATTTCAGTAGATATCAGAAGTAAATTGCAAAGCCAAAGAAAGGATTTTCTGAGCATCTTCACTGTGTGATCCTACTCTGTTTTATGATAGAATATAAGAGTAGGATAAACAGAACTTTGTAAATAACAGTATGTTGGAAGTTCTGATTACAGGGGCTGGCAGGTGGCATGGTAGTTAAGGGCGCTGGACTCCCACATGGCTGACTGCGGTTCGAGTCCTGGACCTGACGGCTTCCTTTTTCACTCTCTCCTTCTCTCCCTCTCTGGGCAAATTTTAAAAAAAAGTTAAGCAAAATCTTTTTTTTTTAAGAAAAAAAAGTTCTGATTATAAATTATTTTATTGTAGTATACTTTGGGAAAGTAAGAATGAAATTTTTATTGTTAACTTTGGCATCAAAAGGAAATAACATTTGTGTATGTGCAAGTTAAAATTAATCAAAGTATTTTATGTATCTCACCATAATTGAGTTTCTAATTATTATTATTACAGGAAATAAATGGGGAAATTTTCCCTTTTTACATCACTTAAGAATTTCATTGTGAATTATTTTTTCTCATTGCTTCTTTTCTTTTTTAAGAATTGTTTTATTTAGCTTTACTTATTTATTTATTGTTAATCTAACCAGAGAGGGACAGAGTGAGAGCGAGAGAGAGAGGGAAAGTGAAAAAGCAAGGCTCCAGGTCCAGGACTCAGACCCCCTTCTAACAGCATCTTTCTTAAACTGTTGGAGGGAAATCAGTTATTTTTTTTCAAATCATCATCTTGTCTCTGTTTCTCCATCAGTTTGATCAGTTTTAAAAGGCAGTTTGTCCTGGTCCACAGCAGTGATATGGCAGTTATGCAGTGTTCCCCAGTGCTGAGACCAAATGGGAAAATTCCAAGTTCTTGGCCTGAGATTTCCTGTGCATGGTGGGAAAGTGTGCACATGCCTGTGATCATGAGTGACTGAGGTTGAAGGTGGATCATGACATGAAGATCCTGTTCGAGTGTACTCTCTTAGAAATAAGTGGGGGAAAAAATCACTATTAAAAATTGTTATATTAGGGACCAGCAGTTAACGTAATAGCTATGTCGCTGGACTCCCATGTAGTTGACTGTGGTTCACGTCCCGGACCCGGTGGCTTAAAACTCATGCCGGCGCATGTGCGTACGTGCCCAAGATCCTAGAGAAGAATGGAGGAGAAGGGATTGTGGCATGGCCACCCCCCCCCGGGGGGTGATTTCTCGCTTTCTGACTCTGTCTCTGGCTGGCTGGCAAGCGCACACGCCCTGTAGCAAAAACCTTAAAAAAAAAAAAAAAGAAAAGAAATTGCTATATTCAAGGCCAGCACAGTGGGATCCCACATACCCAAACTATACTATTTGAGTCCCAGACCTGGCAACTTTAGAAACATGCCAGGTGGGGACCAGCAGTTAGTGTAATGGTTATGTCACTGGACTCCCACGTAGTTGACCGTGATTCGAGTCCTGGACCTGGTTGCTTAAACTCACGCCGGGTGTGTGCATGCATGCCCTAGATCCCAAGAGGAGGATGGAGGAGAAGGGGTTGCGGCATGGCCATCCCCCCTAGGGGGATGATTTCTCGCTTTCTGTTTCTCTGTCTCTCTCTTTCTGGCGAGCACATGCGCCCAATAGCAAAAACCTCTCCAAAAAATGAAAGAAAAAAGAAACATGCCATGTTACTGTCCGTGCATGCCCAAAACCCTGAAAGAAGAAATGGAGAAGGGGGACCAGCAGTTGGCGTAATGGCTATGTTGCTAGACTCCCATGTAGTCAACCGCAGTTCGAGTCCCGGACCTGATGACTTAAACTCACGCCCGGTACATGTGCGTGTGTGCCCAAGACCCCAAAGGAGAATGGAAGAGAAGGGATTGTGGCATGACCATCCTCCCTGGGGCATGATTTCTCGCTTTCTGTCTCTCTTGTCTCTCTCTGTCTTTCTGGCGAGTGCATGTGCCATATAGCAAAAACTTCTCAAAAAAAAAAGAAAGAGGGAACCAGCAGTTAGCGTAA